CCCTACCACCTCTTACGGCACACAGCTAGCCTAAGCTGCAAAATATTTCTTTAGAAGACGTGCATGTATGTGACATTTCTTACAGAAACTCCATTACACTTCCAGACAACAACACATACAGTAGGTATGAAATTTTAAATGAAAGAAATTCACTGAAATATACTTGATAGAATATTTTTCAAGGGACAGGAGAACAGTTATTTTGAAAAAATATGACACCAGACTAACAAACTTATTTTAGCAATGACATCTCTGATAAACAATAACCTGCATGGGTTTTTTTCATTCAAGGATAGCAAAGGAAGTTGGTAATTTGTTAAAAGCTGTTTTTTGTAATGATGGATAATCTCATAAAGTCTCTGAAAAACTGAACATACACAGTTGAGCAGACGAAAAGCATTCTCTCAACTTCCTGATGTAAAGCACTATCCATATCTTTTTAAAGATTTTTTCCAAATAAACAAACTATTGTACATTGTTAATCTTTTTATTATAAGAATATCCAACATTAAAAAACTGTACAGTTCTAAAAACCAAATGTCAACATACATCTATCTTCAGGTTTTTAACAAATATTTAAAGAATGTTTTTAGACATCTAACGGTTTATGCAGATCAGCTATTGATTTCTATTAGCTATTAGCTAATTCTGAAGCTTATAAAAGTATGAAATTGGAATTATAGAGTTTACAGATTTTAAATAAAGCTAGTTTGAAGAGTTATGCAACAAAATTCAGATAATTGTTTAAAAGATTACTACATAAGGCTTGAAACAGCATAAATATGGCTTGAATAAGCAAACAATGAATTAAATTCTGTCCAGAAATACCGCCCTCATACAACAGATTAAAGGATAAAGGCCTAACGTCTTGTCTACTTACATTCACTTATAATTTGTATAGACCCTGACTCAGAGTAGAATTCTGGTATGTTTAAATTTACCCTTGTGCGTTTAGGTGTATTCTTTTACATGGTCTTTCTTAGGAAGTTTGAAATCAGAAAGGTCTTCTCGTATACTTGAGTTACATTTCCATGTACAAGATGATAGGCGCTCTCTCCAAAACAATGCAAATGGATGGACTTGTTCCTTGTCCTCCCATTTTTATTTGAAACAGCTGCTCTTCTTGATATAAATATCCTCTGAAGTATTTGGAAACTAAGAGATGGAAATACCAGAGAGCATTCACAGGGTTGTTTTACAAAGCTTATACAGCATTGTTATATTATATTATTACACAGGGTGCAAAATACTGCCCTGACACACATTAACATAGAGAACCGTGGAAGGGAGAAGCACTCTCCTGACTTTGAATAACCTGCTCCAGTCTTACTTCTCTCACAATTCCAAATTATAGAAAGAAACTAAGTCTCTGAAATCACACAGAAGCTGTGAACACTGGTGTAACTCCAAATCCCACAGGTCTCTGGCCATCACTGTTCTGATGTAAGATTAGACTGAATGAAGATTGGAACAATTCAGTCCCTAGGAGAAAACCTGAGTTTTCATTAAACAGTATCACCTCCCTGTGAATGAGCTGGAAAATGAATATTCCTCACAGCTCTTCCCAGCCAGTAATCATTTGAGTCGAGCTGTTTGAACTAGCAGACTGAAGATATGAAGAAAAGGCACCTCATTCAACAAAATACAGAGCATTCCACTCTAAACCTCTGCTAAGAGTACCCTGACACAGATGTACGGTTAAGTGCTTAGGAGACTTAAGAAGAGAAAAACTTGAAAAGAACTGTTAAGCCCATAAAGGAAAAGAAGGAGGAGAAACAGTACAAGTTGCAGAAGGTAAAATTAGATATCCTTATTATTTTTCGCAATAACGCAAAAGGAATTTGTAAGGTTACATTCAAAGCAGAAAAAAACCACCACTATTTTCTTTAAAAACAATTTAGCCCTGGAAAAGAAAATCCACAACATCAATGAATTCGGGTGCTTCAAATGACTAAAAAAAAATAATAACTTGCAGGACTTAAGTACACATCCATAATTAGATTGGATGAGAAAAAATGGTAAAATTATGCATGCTTCTAAAAGGATCTTTTACTCTTCACAGTACACCCCAAGCAGACAGAAATTAGAAAAAAAAAAAAAAAAAACCACGAACACGGAAAAAGGCAGTTTTTCATGAAACAGGGTATTCCTTTACCGTCTCTGAAGTCAGTGTTACCAAATAGGAGCTGCAGGACAAGCTGATCAGAAAATATCAATTCCGAAAGTATAATTCAACATGGAATATTTTTTTCATATAGTTAGCATATAGGCTTAATTAATCATATGCATTTGTATAAAATGTCTTACAGATACCAGCTATTATTTTCATCAGTAACACCTAATGCAACTTTATTAAAATAAAATATTAGGACTTACCCACAATTTCTGTCAACAAAGTAATGAAGAGTTAACTAGAATAAACCACTACAATGAAATCCAAACATGTAAGATGCATTCTGTTCTCTTGGGTATGTGGCAAAAAAACCTTCTTTCAATTATATCAATTCAAGATAAACTTATGCAAAACAAATGGAAATTCCCTTAAGAGTAACAGATACACAATTCAACAGTCTTATAATTGTACTCCTTGATTATAACTGTAAGCAACTAGACCAAATAAAACATGTCCAGAGATACAAAGTACACTGAAAAGACTGTGAAGTAAGTATATTTTCAAATTGTTAATTTATTTTTTTAACTATTTTAAAGGATTTGAGCAGTGAGCACACAAACAACAGAACAAATATCTGGTGATCATTGTTGAAATGCACCACACAGACGTTCTCTGTGTAGTCAGACTCAAGTAAACGTCATACGAGAAGTTGTTCACAGGTCAGGTTTTTTCCCCTCAAATATACAGCCAGAACCAGACCTAATGAATTAAAAAGTACTACATTCTTAAAGAAAACAAAACCAAAACAGAACAAACAAGCAACAAAAACTAACAGTAACTTTCTCGGGTTCATAGCAAAGGTGAATGTGAATCCCAAACCGCCAGGAAATATCTATTAAGTCTTCAGAGGTCTGTTATCTTCATTTTGTTATACAGTCTAAGTGCACCAAGATCATGAAAGAGCTGAAACGAAGGAATTCAGCCTAGTCTAGAGAGAGAGATCCAGCAAGTGTCAAGGATGTGAACCTTCTCTTCCATAGTTATGTAGAAGACAGTAGTAAATAAATATAATTAAAAAAACCAAACCAAACCTATCAGCTATGGGAAAGCTAGAAGAGTGGAGATAACTTTGAGAGAGAAGCCCTGCCCACAGGACAGTAAAGATATTATCTTGCAAATCTGTATGTGGTAGAAAAGCAGAGAACTGGAGAGAACCGAAAGAGAGCCTTAAAATTCAAACAGAGGAACAAAGTCTTTCTTAGACTGGTAGCTGTAATTCTTCCATTGGTACAATGCTGTACCGTGCCAAAATACTAGTGCACTCAAAGTAAATTTAGTCTCTGTATTAGCTACCACAATGTGTGTAGCATACTCTCTAACCTGTGAAGTGCCAAATCATAATGTCATAATCATGATTCCCCACCCCTAATATCATTATATTAGGTGTACAAAGACAGAAGAGAGAGAAGGAGAGAAGATGCAAAGGGTTCAGTAAGCAGGAACACTAGATAAGTCATCTTTCTGTGTGAACAACAGTATGGTAACAGTCAGCTGAACTTCCCCAGACAGCTGTAAGAACCTACGTGTTCTTACACATGTGGAAGAAAGGAAGTTTCCCTCAATGAGACAAAGAAAGAAAAAAAAGTTTCTCCCCTACAGAGATTCTCAATTATCCACAAAACTTAATTTTTGATTACTCACATTCCTTACAGTTTAAGCTAAACTAATCACTTTGGCTTGAGTCATTCTTAAAAGTTCTTCTTAGTCATAGACCAGGAAATGGAAGCCGTTAGGTAAATCAAAGATGCGGCTCAAACCGTTCCACATATTTTGAAATGTAATTAAAGCAAACATTTAAAGTTCGGTCAGGAAAACACTTGTTTAACCCTATCAGTGTATACTCAGAAGAGTTAAGTATGGTATCTGCTAGTACAAGCATAAAAGTCTGGAAAGCCCTGTGAGGAAAATAAAGTTGTGTTGTATGAGAGATGAAGTATGTCTGACTCTAACATGTGAGGGTTTAAGTATTTCCTAATGCTAAGAAGTATATTGGAAGATTAATCACCAGTTTATAGGTAATTACTACTCATGTCCAAAGGGTCATGGGAACACTACTCATTCCCTAAACTGGACCTAAAAGCCCTCTGACACTTGTATATGCATTTTATAGGTAATGTGACACATCACACATGAAAAACATTGTTTTACGAGCAAGAGAGCAAAATTTTAAGGATTAGAGCACCAGAGAAACACAACAGAATACAGTGATTAATAAAAAAGTTCCACTTTCAAATCAAAGAAAGATGCTAAATATTTCATCAGTACAGGAAGCAACAGCTTCTGCTTCTCTAAAAACTATCCACCGGGAAAGTCTGAGAAAATATATAATGACTAGTAAGACTAGGAAGCTAAACAAACTGAAATAACAGGGTCTTGTGATAGTCACAAAACGCACAGCCAGTCAGTAGGTTGCCTGTACATAAGGAAATGACTAATTAATTTACAGTTGTAATTACCAATTCGATCTTAGCATAAAAGAACAAAGTGACCTTATTATCAATGTGAAGAAAAGCTGTACAGGCTTAAGTTTAAGTGCAAACTGAATTTTCATTTTTTCTGCAATTAACAGAGGACTTTGTGACCCAGGTAAAAGGAAAAGCTTGTACAGCTCTTCAGTTCAGTACTGTGTATCTGAGCTTTTTACTGTAGCAAAACTACATATTTAACACAAGTAATAAAGCATTAAACAGAGGAAAGGGAATTTATAACAAAAATAGAACATCAATCAAATTGAAATCCTGCAATTCAAAATGTCCAAAACACAAGTAATTTTAAACAAAATTATTATTAATATGAGCTGCATAACTACAACTCAACCATCATTTACCGTGTTTCTGATTGGAATTTTCTTCGGTTCTGGTGGCACATCCTGAGGAACAAATTTTACTGGTTCCTTAATCTGCCTTCTTGATCGTTTGGTCCCATCTGGTAAGGTTTCCATGGCAATATCAGCCTCCATGTCACTGCTACCTGCCTGGTCACACTCTGAGCATTGCCTGCAAAGTGGAAGACTTTCTATTTAAAGCTGCAGTCACAAAAGTGGAAAAAGAAACATATTGAAGTGTGTGGGTTTAAAATAAATTCAAAAGTCAGGAAACCCAATGGACACCCAAAGAAGTCCCTGAAACATATAATATTTTAAGCAACTAAGCAAAAAACAAGCAAGATGTATTTATTGCTGTTTTTTTTTTCTGACAGTATTTAATTTTGAAAACCAAGATTTTGAAAGTAGAATTTAATCTTCAAGAAAGATGCACCCTATTTCACCATCTGCATCCTACCATATCCCCATTTTTAATGGTGCCCACTGATCTGTAATCTATTTATTATTGTAACTGCTGCTGCTGCAGTTTAATCTTTACAATGACACGCTGCTGAATTCATTCCGATGAGAGTGCTCTTTAGTGGCAGGGACTTAGAAGAAATGTCTGTTATGAAAACTAATTTTAATATGCATTTCTAAGGGAGTGGGTTTTAAATATGAAAAAAATAGTTCAGAGACAGTTAAAGATATGGAAGCTGGAGACATATTAACAAACTTTGAACATCGAGTTGAAAAAAATGCCTGTTGAGTTTTTGAAAAAGTACAAAAACACTATCAGAACTTCAAAAGTGAATAGATACTAAGGCAAAGCTATTAACAAGCTTCATGACAGAATTAACAAGATGAGAAGTCACCAAATTTTGTTCTCATCTGCAGAAAATACTCATCTTATGTTAAGTCATAAACGTGTATGTTAACTAAAAATATGTTAATGAAAACTTAAAAATCATACCCGCTGGTAAGAGCCAGTTTTTCATTCCTTCACACATTATACTTTAAATTCAAAAAACTACAAATTCTTTCAAACAAATTCCAATTCATCACTGTTCTCATATTAAGAATGTTATTTTTATACTACCAAACGAAAAAAAAAACAAACATTATATTCTGCTATTAATTGGCATTCACAGGAATACACACATTAAAATTATCTAAATGAAGGAGCAAATTTCCTTTGAAAGGAGACAAACAAAAACCACGTACTTAAGCATGAATTACCATTTAGCTTCAAATAGTTATGACAAGAAGGCATATTCTTCCGCTATGTAAACAAATGCACAAGCTGACTCCGTATGAACATGTTCAATAGGAATAGTAATGGCTAACATGATATCAACTCCATAAACTTTCCATGTTTTCTAACTCTTTTGAACTAATCCAAGCAGTATAATCTCAGAGCTATCCAGAAGACAACAGTGGTCATCACGGTCCACTAAACAGACCAGTGGCTACTGAGTCAAAATAGAGGGGATCTAATCCTGGATTGGGTAACTGTTACTAGTGTAACCTTGGCTAAGTCAACACCTTTCTCCTTCAATTTTTCCATACGTAACATTAAGATAATTGTGGCTACATTATAATGTTATGAAGATTAATCACGTCTTATCTCTAAAGCACTCGAGACCACTAGAAATAGGACGCATGCCAGTATTAGAAGTATTTGCTGGTACAGAAAAGCAGAAGTACTACAGGGCAGATTGCAGGAAAGATAACCGTGTCTCCTCTCCCTCATATAAGCATGGAAATTTTATTAGTAGCCAAAACACAAGGAACTCAGTTTATGCATTTTTTTTATACTTTGCAAACAGTTTTGGTCCAGAATACAAGTGTGTAATACTCTATTCTTCCTCCTCTTTACAAACCTGAGATCCCTGCAGACACAGTACCCATTAACACTTCTAGGCCTCTTTAGGACACTAAAATATAAAACCAATTTAAAAAAAATGAGGTATAACAGCTGTCACAAAATGCTACTTTTTACAGTTACATGTTTACATAAATTTGTGTACATAAACACACACAAATATGTATATACATGCACTTAAGTAAATAAACAAAAGCACACAGACCAAACTACTATCATTGTAAGATTTTACAGAGAAAGACTCTCAAATGATGTAACAGGAGAGAGAAGCTTTAGAGATAACAGCATTCCCTCAAAATTTTCTGTGTCTGCTTAGCTAAATATTACTTTTTGTTCTTTGTGTCATGCATTGTCTTCAACTTGTCCAATGCAAAACTCTAAGGAGATTTTCTGCTTGATAAGCATCAGAGAGCACAGCCCTCCATAATACTGCAGCATCAGTCATGTCATTAATTTATGTAATGGAAAGCACAACTGAAAGTACTTAGTACGTATGATCTGCTTATGCAGATACAAGTAATAGCTATTAAAGTGTTCAAAAATACTGTGGTGAGCAAATCTTACAAAAAGTTGATTTTCCCCATTATTATGGTTAAAATATGTACTAAGTATAGATTAAAATAAATAAGCATTCTACAACTAAATAGCTGCATTAAAAAACTTGAAGCTTTTATAAGACAAAAATAGAAATATCATTTTACAGCAACATTTGGACTTGGGAACCCTGTCTCTTGGATCTACCACCCTGCACCTATGACTTAAATCATTCCTGTTCTTTAGCTCTCCACTGTTAAAAGGGAAAGACACTGTTTTTCTGATACCTAAGCTCAGACGGTTGTACAGAAACTAACCATGCAGAACAAAGTACTTCAGTTTAATGAGGGCCCTATTTAAGTAAAAATATAAAAATATAAAGTGTTTCAGGAAGACAAGAAACACCTCTGTCAACAGATGAGTTGACAGAGCAAGTTCCTGAAATACCATTTCTGTGATCAGGCTTGCTTTGAAACAGGTAGCGTAAGTGACACAACAATCAAAATTAGAAAAAAGCTAGACCTACAAAAAGAAAGCTGCAAAACTACAGTACAATTGGGGGTGGGAGGGCGTGGTGTTTGGGGGTGTGTGTGTGAAACACAGACAAAAACTTCACGAATGCACCAAAGGCGAGAGAAAAAAGGAAAGCTATATACATGAACTTACAAGCAACCTCTTGATTTACTGGAATAGCTTCTACTATAACAGGTGACTGGATCTTATCAACCCTATTATAAAGCCGTCAAGCTTCAACTATAAAGTAGTTTGGTTGTTAGGTCCCCTAGGGCCCACAGAAAAGCTATTACAGACACACACTCTTCTGGCTTGAAAACAATCTCCTAACTTTCAGCTCCTATTACGGTTTATTTCAACATGGTTCTTGAATC